GCTCTACACCTTGTTTCCTCCAACAGCTGGTCCTGCTTTGCCTGGACTCATCTCCTTCTCCCATTCCTCCTCCTGACCACCTGGGACCTGCAGCAAAATTCCCATTTCCTCTCGACTCCTGTAAGCCGTTCAATAAGGTGGAAAATCTAGGTGATACTCTGTTCTCAGAGAATTTCCAAAATAGATGTTGCTTGTGAAGAAGTTTTGACAAAATGTCCTGGTGAGTTCCTGAAATGGTCTCCTCATTACTCATTGCTACTGGAGCAACATGAAATGATGAGTATTCCTTTATGTAATGAAGACATGAAGACCATGTATTCTCCCAGGCAGCTGTCACTGATGTGAAGGTCGTGCCATTAAAACATATTGCCACATGTCACTTTGGGATTTGACTCTGTGTGAAGGGGACAAAGGCACTGAACAGGAACGTCAGTCAAGATAGATCCTAGACTTTACACATCAAAACTAGCAACACAAACCGAGCTGAACCAATCTGAGACTCACATGAGGGGCAGTGGGGCATTTTTCTTGTTAATTCAGCTTAGTAGCAACATTTCAAAACTGCCTGCCTAGTTCAATTGCGACGAAGAGTTTTCACAGAATGATAGAAATTACAACACAGACAGAGGCCATTTGGCCCCTGGGGCTGGTGCTCTCTCCTGTAACTCTGTATATATTCTTGACCTCAATTGCCACATGTGGTGATATATTCCACAGTCAAATGGCTCTCAGTTTAAAGAGCTTTCCCCTTGTTTCCTCCAATGAGAATCCTTGTTTTCCTTTCCCTATTTCCCCATTCACAGCCAGTGACAACAGTCTCTCACAGTTTACCTACAGAATGAGCTCCCTGTTTCACTCCCTTCTTTCATGGATGCTCTTACCTTGGTGTCCCTTCCATCCAGCAGCTTCTCCTGGCTCCGTGGTAAAGCTGGGGCCTAGCCTCACCTCCCGTAGGAGCCCTGAGCCCGATTTTCCCCAAAATCTTCTTCCCCTCAACCTTAATTCTCCGGTCCCCCTATCAATCCCTAAACTCCCATTCCCAGTTCCTCCCTCTCTCCCCCAGACCTGATTCCCAATTTTCCTCTTCCCTGAGGCCCCATTGCTGGTGGCTCAGTAATTAGCACTGCTGCCTCTCAGCGCCAGGGACCTGGGTTTGATTCCAGCCTTGTGCAGGTTACATAGATTGCTTGTGGGAAATGCAGGGTTACAGGGAGGGGGTGGGTCTGGATGGGATGCTTTTCAAAGGGTCGGCATGGACTTGATGGGCCAAATAGCCTGCTTCCACACGGTAGGGATTCTGTGATCGATTTCCGTTCCCAGTCGCCCTTTCCATCCCCAAGTAGAATCTCGCTCTCTCCACTGGAGGCCCTAGTGAATCCCTCTCTCGTACTTTTCCTCAAGCCACCATGCACCAAGCTGGCTCGCTCTCTCTTCTTTTTTTCTCTCTCCCATGCTGCTTGAATTCCTGTACTGCCCTCAGTGGTGTGGAGGGTTAATATCAAAATGCTGGTGCTTCTCCAGTGCAGCAGATGGTGAGGGATTTGCGCCTGGGAAGGGAGCTGCTACAAGGAATGTAAATTGTAAAGAGAACCCAAACTGCTGGCAGGACAGTCCTGAGGTGTTGGTAACTCTTAGTGTGTGAATGCAGGGCAGGCTAATAAAAAGTGAATGTCTCTTTCAAACATAGGGCAGACATTTGGAATGGCCTACTGGCCGAGTTAGTGGGGGAAGCACCCCAGATCAAGTGTCAAATCTCCCAGACTGGAGGACCCCACACTGGCCAAGTGACATCTGATCCATATTGTGGAGACTAGGTCAGCGTCAAATCTTCAAGTATTGCTCCTAGTAGCCGGGCAGTGTTACAGAGTTTAAATTGGAGGAGTATATGCCTTTTGAACATGCTGTTCTTCAATAGTTAACTAGTACAGAAACTGGATTTTCTGTTTTTTAAACTGCAGATGAGGAGGATCGGAGAGATGCTGAACTTCAGCTGGCCAATTACCCCTGGTTCCATGGGACACTGTCACGGGTAAAAGCTGCCCAACTGGTTCTGGCTGGAGGCTCCAGGAGTCACGGTCTGTTTGTCATTCGCCAGAGTGAGACACGGCCAGGGGAATATGTGCTGACCTTCAACTTTCAGGGCAAGGCAAAGGTAAGGCCAAGGACATTAGAAACTGCAAGCAGGCTAAAGGTAGTTCCACATACAATGGAACTCTAAGACAGGACAAGTTGTTTGAGGTACTTTTGGTGTGGTGGGGGGGGGAGTCGGGGGTAGGTTAATAATATACTTTACAACAGATGTTTACTCCTGACTTTTGTCTGGATTTTATTTTTACAATGCTTCTCAGGAATGATTTTATTATAACTAGTTATTGTTTAATATGGATGCTAAGATGGAAGGATATTTAATCCAGACAATTCATTAGAAGTCTAGTGAAATGTTTGCAAGACTTCAGAATAGGTAGAAGAGCTGATTAAAGGAGGAGAGGGGATGTGAAAGGAAAATTGTATAATAAAAATTTCTAAGGGTGCTATGGCAATGAAGTTTGCTCTCCACAAGCAAACACAGTATTTTAGTTTTGGAGGGTCCACTGACTGACATTGAGCAGAAGTGAAACTAACCCCATGGAATTCAGATCAACTTTGTTTCAAATTGAAGAAATTATAGGACACTGAATCACCAGAAATGTTACAGCACAGAAAGAGGCCATTCTGCCCTTGTCCATGCTGGCTGTCTGCAAAAGCATCTAAGCTCTTCCTGACCCCCCTGACCTTTTACTCCTAGCCCTGAGAGTACTTTCTCTTCAGGTGCTATCAGATTCCCTTTTGAAAGCCCTCCACCACAGTCCCAGATATTACAGTCCACATTCTAACAACTCACTGCATTCTTTTGCATATCACCTTGAATTGTTGCTTTCTGACTCTCAACCCTCTTGCCAGCGGGAACGGTATCTTTCTGTCAGCCATATGGATCCTTTCTGATTTTGAACACCTATATCAAATCTCCTTTCAACCTTTAAATCTCCTTTAGAAAGAACGACTTCAGCTTTTCTATTCATGTAACAGAAGTCCTTCACCATGGAACAATTCTCCATAATTTGTTTCTGCACTTAAAAGTGTTCTGCACAGAATTGAGGCTGAGACGAAGTTTTACAAACAGATCTTTGAAATTCTGACTGGATGTAACAGTTAGTTTGAAAAAGACTATTTTCAGTGATTGAGGGGTTTATTGAGGGGGTTAAGAACTAGGGGTCAGAGAGACAAGATTAAATAGGAGAAATTTAGGGAAGAGAATTGGAGTACTTTGTTTTAAATGTATGCTAAGACTGATTCTCCAGTCCCATTACTCCCATGAATCTCAACATAAAATAAAAATATCTTTCTGGTTGCCATGATCACCAATTAAATACCTTCCCTATATTAGGTTTTAAGCAAGAAAATCTGTCAAGAGGCTTCTTAATAAAAATAATTGTGAGATGTTATGAAGGCTAGTTGGATCCTTGAGTTTATAAATAGAGGCATAGAATATAAAAGCAAGGAAATGATGCTACACCTGTACAAATCATTTGTCAGACCACATCTGGAGTAGTGTGTTCAATTCTGGGCGCCTTGCTTAAGGAAGGATGTAAAAACCCTGGAGAGAGTTTCAAGAAAATTTACTAGAATGATACCAGGAGTTAGGGATTTTAGATACAAGGAAATATTTGAGAAATTGGGCTTATTCTCCTTGGAGCAGAGAAGATTAGGAGGTGACTTTATTGAGGTGTTCAAAATTATAAGCAATTTTGACCGGATAACAAAGGATATTTATGTTTCCACTAGTTGGCATGTCAGTAACTAGGGATCACATTGTCAGCGAGAGAGCTTTAGGAGAAAATTCTTTACTCAGAGTTGTTAGGATTTGGAATGTGTTGCCTGGGTAGAGGTGGATTCCAAAGGAAGTTTCAAATGATAACTGGATATATATTTGAAAGTTTTGAAGTTGGAGGGGTACAGAGAAGGCTGGAGAGTGGTACTAGCTGGGTAGCTCTTTTGGGAGCTGGTACAGACATGAATGGCCTCCTTCTGTACTGTAAAATTCTGTGATTCTATTATCAAAACAAACTGTATTCAATAAAGCTGAAATAATTGGTTTATATACAGTCAGTAATATAGATTTATACATGTATATCCCTCTAAATATCCCTCTAAATATCCCAAAAAAACACACACTCTGTCTCTCCCACACTCTCTGTCTCTCCCTGTCTCACACATGCACAGATACACATGCACACGTGTGTGCACACATGCATGCTTTTTTCAAGAAAAGAGAAACAAGATACTCTGCAGATTAAAAGAAAACATTTTGGGCAATGGGTTATTCTTGAAGGCAAAATTGTAAAATATACAGTATTCTGGAGTCTATTGCTCCAATGCTGTGGCATGTGTGATCAAGTTATTAATTATACACATTTGTTTCTGAAGTCTTGCAGACACAGCTTGCTCAGGAAATAAAATCTGGAGCTGCTTCATTAATAAAACTTTCAAAAGAAAAAATAATTTTCATCCTGAGCTCCACAAGAGAATTTTCTTTACAGACATGAGACAGATCAGCTGGGCAGATTGTTCTCAGCAAACTGTCCTCCAAATCAGCTCATTCTTAGCAGGCTTTCCTCCAACTGAACCAGGTGTAAAACAAGAACCTTCACCATGCCAGCACCAGTTGCAAAATTGCCCAACAGGAGTTTACAGCAAAGCAAACAGTTATCACCAGTCATGTGATTTCTAGGAAGCCTTGTTAATGAAAGATTTCCAGGTCCACAGCAAACTTTCAATGACCTCTTTAAAAGAAACCATTCCAGGTATTGACACAAAATTTGAAATGAATGTATTTTACACAATCCTTCAAAATTCAAGTCCTACAAGCAATATTAAATATAAAACAGCTTTGTAAAGCATGTTTGCTCCTTTATGGGGGAGGGTGAGTGTTTTGCTGGAGCTGGGCAGGTCTTATTAGTAGATATGATAATATGATTCCTCAGGTATATGGTGAAGCTCTTAAATTGGGAACCAAAAATGTAGAGCCATTCACCGTGTCCTCCTTACCTTCTCATGTATCTATCAATAAATCACAGCTATTGACAGTTTCAATGGCCAAAAATGTCTTGGCACTTAACATCTTTTAATCGCATAAATAAATACATAGGACTTGCAAAAATCACCTCTTCAAAGAAAGATCAGGTTGTTAGAAGTAACGACGATGTTGATCAAACAAAACAATGTTCCTCTGAAAGCAATATCAACATTGCCTGCTGGACTAAGTATCACCCATTCTTAGACCTATGCCATAGATTCATAATGAGAGTATCTGGCAACTGTATCCATAGAAGCAGTTAAAATTGATAGCCAGATATCTGTTTTGCTAGTTGGCCTTATGATGAATGCTTGAATATATAAAATCACAGTCTGAAAGAATGTCTTTCTCAGCCGTAAGGGCCCTTTTCTTATTTTGAATGCCTTTTTTTAAATCAAATCTTCTCTCAACTTGTTCTACCCATCAGCGTGAGATTAGGGACACCAACCCTATTAAACACCTTGCAGGAGTGTTTAATGGGCAATGGAGATTGGGCTACGGAGATTTTCAATGTGAATTCTGGTAAACGCTGTATGGTGAATGTTGGTGCGTAGCTATTGGCTTCGAAGTAATGAGACGGTTTTTCTGTGACACAAAAATAATTGGGCCCTCAGGTGGTCTCTCTTTGGTACACATTGCCTTTAGTAGGGCCATGTGGACACTTTCTCAGACGTTTATGGTGCTGGTTCTTTGAGGTGCTGCCTGCTCTCATACACACAGCAGTCTTAAACATGGCTGCTGTCTGCTCTTTTGCCTTCACTCGCCAGGCAGTTCCCACCTCCCAGTTACAAATGGGGCTTGAGCTCATCTCCAGTGCAGTCAGGGTATTTCACTTGAAAACATTGTGAGCCTTGAGATAAGGACCTCTGCATTTGGGCTCCTAGCCCTACTTCAAAAATCTAGCTTTATGTCAATGTTTAAAAATAGGTGTTTAGGGTAAAGGAGGGATGTAGAGAATGGGGATTAGAACACTGATCATGAGGAGGATGAACATAGCCAGTTAGACTGACCGCCCAGTTCCCATGCTGTTTTTTAATGTAATTGTCTGCACCTTCCAGATGACTGTATAACAAGCTGCTTTTTAATTTGTATAGCACCTACGCCTGTCTCTGAATGAAACTGGTCAGTGCCATGTTCAGCATCTCTGGTTTCAGACCATCCTGGATATGCTGAAACATTTCCATACTCATCCCATCCCCCTGGAGTCCGGAGGTTCTGCTGATATCACTCTCCGCAGCTACGTGCTGGTCACAAAACCCAACCCAGGCTCAGGTAAGAATCTCTGAAAGGACTCTCATGGTTTTGGAACAGCTTTCCTTTTAAAAGAAAATGCTACTTTGTTTTTCATCGAATAATCTTCTCTGACTGTGAGACATGCTGTCTCCTCCCCCATGAGCTGTTTGTACAACAGCTTGATCCCACCTTCTTAACGGCCCTTTTGACCATCCTGCTTTAACTGTTTCACCGTCGGCAGTCATACCTTCAGCAGCCTCAGCTGTAAGCTCTAGAATTCCCTCTATCTCTCCCTGCTCGTTTCCAAATGCTCCTTAGTCTATCTCAGTGACCAAGCCCCTCCTGATGTTTCCTTCCATGTCTCAGGGTCAGTTTTGGTTTGCTCACTTGCCTGTGTAACTCGCTGAGATGTGATAGACAAATGTCAATTTAAACAGTCATTCCCTTCCATGCAGGCTCATTGGTTTCAATGATGGTAAAGGTACTTCTTGATGCCATTTTTAGGGAGTTCAGTAGTTTAGTTGTAATTAGTTTGTCATGATTTTATATTGTTGCTTGTGAAGGGAAAGGCAACACACTGGAAGGATTGTAAAGAGGCTTTAACATCAGTGACTGGACCACCCTGACTCCAGACTATTTTGCGAACCTTTGTGCCAATTCTGGCCCTTTGCCATTACGCAGCTGATCTAGGGATGATGAGCCATCTGCGTAGAGCCTCAGTGGAAAGGTGAAGAGTGACCCTCAAAGCCCCAGCAATACACTGAAGAACGTGACAGGCACTTCAAATAGTTCTCTGCCATCTCAATTTTTCCTGTCAATTGTTTACTCATTTTCACCAAACGACCTTTAGCCTGCTCCTTTGCTTCTAAAAGGAACTGCTTCCCAGCGAGGGGCATGGCGGCCCTCCGTTTCCTCTCTCAATTTCTTGGCTTTGTCAAGAACTGTGTGGGTCAACTTGCAAAGGATTGAACTGCCTCTGCCAACCTCTGACATTGCTCAGGCAGAGCTCCACCATATATTTTTAACTAACTCTCTTTGTTTTCTCAATGGAAGCTCAATAACCTGATCCTCCCTGATTTATTTAAGAGCTGCTAACAAATGGCATTGTT